GTAAGATTAGTTTATTAGAATTACGTATGATTTTTTTGTTATTATTGCAACCTTTTTTCAAATTTCAATTTACTTTTGTTTTTCGGTTAAAACTTCAACCGTTTTTTTACAAATTCACCTTTTTACGAACTGATATAAAGCCAAAAACATACGTCCTGCACTAAGTTTAAGTTCTACTTTTTCTTTTCAGATAGTCCTCTTGAAGGCGATATCTATATTGTCAATATACAAATTGTCAAAGTTAAACATTCAGCGATAATAGTAAAAGTCTCTCAAATCTTTTATAAAAGCGTATACTTTAAAATGGTTTGTCATTGAATTCGTTATTTTCTGGAATACACCACCGTGGCGAAACTATTTCTAATTCCTATTAACAAACTCAAAGTCATATTTACTTGAAGGATACGGGATACTGTTATCGTTTAAGTAACTAAGCAAACTAACACTATACCCCTATACATAGAAACATTTTATCGAAACTACTTCATGCGCAATTCCTGTTTTCCCTCTCTAATTGGCAATGGTTAAAAGTACTTAAGTGCTTTCGTTTTTTGTTACTAAAATCATCAATTTAAAATTCTTCAAACTTTGTCGCAAAAGTACAAGCATAACACTAATGAGTCAGAATAAGTTTTTTTCTCATAAAAAAAAAAAAAAAGTTGTAATTGCAGCAGTTGAAAATCTTGGAAGTGTAGCCTTTTAGTATAAAGATGCAAATCCAATAAATCGAGATATGTATTTATGACATAGTCGCTTTCTCCATCGTTGATAATACTCGAATTGGAATCAAACTCTTTCGAATCTAATCTGCTTAAGAAATACCGACAACAGTGCTACGTATAGAAAACCTCTAATAACTTTTTTACCCCTAAGACAGTGATAAGGAAGTCGGTTTCAAACTTTCAAGAAAGAGAAACTCTTTTTTGTATACTCCTACCTGAATAAAATCATTGTTTGCAAGTCACATAAGCTCAGTAATCTAAGCAAGATAGACTCTCATCTTAGGAGAGATCCCGACCAGATATAGAGATGATTATTGAAATTCATCAAAATAATCCAAAAACCACTTCGGCTGCACCAGCTTTCACAGGTTCAGTTTTTAGAGTATACTTGTAAAATAGTATAAAAAGATTTTTTTCTTGACGATATCTTGTCGAGTAAAAAATTGTTCCATACAAGTACTTAGGATTGATCGATCAGTTTGTATGGCAGTTACAGGCTATAGTGTCCGCTATCGGCGATTTCGACTAATGAGCAGCTTGCTGATAAAAGGACGTGTGCAAAATTTTAGATTGATATCTCTATAGCTGACGGACTGGGGATGGTAAATGTTATGCCGCTACTACAATAATAATAATTACAACAACACTTATAAAGCTGTAGGTTTCTGCTTCGTGAGAACATTTTCATTTTGTATTTTCTTTTCAATCCGAAGCAGTGAGAGTAACTCTGAGTTGAATTTCAATTGATGATTTTGGGGAGTGAGTTATGTATGTGATGAAATTTTAGAATATTTCTTTGCTAAAAAAACATAAAAAATAGTATTATTGCGACATGTTGTTTCGCCAACAATACTGTTTTAGGGTTTGCATTAAGAAGCACACTTGGTGTGAATATTTTTATAGGCTATATCTTTAAAAATAGCATACTATAAATTTAAATCGATATCTCTAATAGTTTTTAAGTTATAGTATTTAAACTCGGTTGTCTCAAAACTATATTTTTAAAATTTGCTTGAGTAATTACTTGGAGACAAATTTTTCTGCATGTATATATACATACAAAGACCTGCCAGTTTTGGATCTGATCAATAATCGCATTGTGGCAGGCCAAAAACGACAAAAATTCAACTTTTTTTAAAGTGCCTCCATTTTGTCAATTTCGGCACAATATCTTCTAGTAGGGATTTTACTTTTTATCCTCAGAGATGCCCAGAAGCACTCCAGCAGTGGAGGACCTTTTTTAGCGTTATCGGAGATCGCGCCGAATCTCGAAAAATATTTAATTTTCTATTAAAAAATTTTCACAAATATACCAAAAATAGTAGACCTTTGAAAATAATAAAAAACAAAGAAATAAATTTACAGTGGGTCGAAACGCATTGGCAATGGAAAGATAAAATAACAAACAGTAAAGGAAAAACAATTTACGGGCGATCTGAGGTCGGATAGGGGACCCTCTCCTTCCCTTTACTGACATGGTGGAATTTTTAAGTGTTTAAAATGGTTTATCTCGATTTCAAACTACGAGTCCTATAGAAAAAAGTTAGATGTGAAATTGTTGGTGATGAAAAGGTCTATAACACCTTTTTCACATAACCTCATAATTTGTGTGAAAATTTCCAAATAACCAAGTTTTTGGGTTTTTGACTGTACAAAAAACAAGCTTCTTTCACGAAATTTGGTGTAAACTTGCACCCTTATGTCCAACATACATACACAGTATTTTTTATAATTAAAAATATAAAGCAGAAAATCTTATCTTGACTTAAACTCGAAAAAAAACCAACTTTTCAATTAAAAAATCTCACGTCAAAGTATCAGATTTTTTAAAAAGTCAGTAGGCCAGTTGAGGTTATGTGAATAAGGTGTTAATACAAAAGCTGGATGGTAGATATTTTCATTACATACATTTTTGCCATATATCTTTCTTCTATAGGACTCATTGTTTTGCCGGAAATCGAGTTAAGCCGTTTTTGACCCTACAACTACGCGCCGTTCCTTCCTTTTTCCGACCTCAGATCACTCGTAAATTATTTTTCTTTTAATGTTGATTTTATATTTTATTTCCAATGGGTTTCATTCTACTATGATTTTTTTTTTTCCAAAATTATTTACCCTTGTCTATATGTATAAACATACCCTCAAACTTTGCAAAAAATTGATATAGTAGTTTTTACCTTTTTTTTGCAAATTAAGCTCTTAGGTGAGCTGTTAGAATAGAGCTTAGCTACGCATGTACTGTATCTAATTCCAGAGCTTGTTGTATTAATTCTCTTCTGTTCCAAAAAGTGTGTGTTTTCGGTTATATATGCAGCTTAGGAATCTTACCCCTTTATAACCATGTGGTGGAACTCGTTCTAAAATTATGTCGCTTCAAAAAAATGTCGTAAAAGCCCAAAATATTATGAACTGTGTAGTTGATACATTAGTTTTGAAACCACACCTACCCCGAGTTCATACAGTTTTCGTTTCCAATTTAAACGCGTACTGTTTCCCAAAATCTAATGGTAGGCTATGATCATCTAAAAGATAGACGGTCATACACTTATATATGAATAAATATTTCGAGCTATTTTATAGTTACCAAATTTGCCTACACAACATATAAATTCTCGATAAAAGTCCCACATGTGAAAACACTACAAAAGATGCATATGCTACTATACTATATCATTATTTTCTGAATTTTCTAATTAATATCACAAAATAAATGACACAAAAAACAGTTGATATCATGAGAATTGGAAGTTCTGTATTTGGCAGCTGCAACAATGGCTATCACTACATACACAAACTATGTGTAACAATGATATCACTAACACTCAGCACATGCAAAAATTTATATTTTCTTTTGCTTGATAAAATATTTACACATATTTAGCATTCGCTTGTGCGCACCTACACGTGTCTATTTAGATTAAAGTAACATATGTATGTCATTTAGTGTATATACATACATTCATACAGGAAGCAAATAAGTTTTTTAGAAATAGACAAGACAAGGTGCCAAATAATTGCTTTATTTTAGAAAATTTGTGAAGTTTTCAAATTTTATCATAATCTTGAAAAAAATTTTTTGATAGTAAAACTTGTTTAGGTATTATAATAAAATTGTATCTAATTTAAAAATTGTTGAGAAAGGTGTCCACTTGTTGAAAAAACATCGTCAGGTTCTTTACATACAGATTGCCATCATGGGTACTATTTAAAAAATTTGAGTATTTTTATACCCTGAACAGGTTATTATATTTAGTTTGCCACAAAGTTTGTAACACCCAGAAGGAAACGTCAGAGACCCTACAAAATAATATATCTATATATATAAATGATCAGCATGATTGCTTGTTTGCATGTATATATGCCAACTAGTCTTACAGTTGAAATATTGATACTGAAAAGAGTTGCCACATACTCGAAAAAAATTGTATTAGGCGCGTTATGTATAGAGTACTACCATAGGAAATACTGAAACGATTAGTTTATATTGTTGGATTAATCGAGATAATGCCCAAATGGTTTAAAAGGACAGAACTAATTTATAAGGTTGCCACCTGTTTGAAAATTATGTATCAAAAAGTATATGAAAAGAAGAAAAGCTGCAATTATCAGTACGTTGCCACCTGTTGGAAAATTGTATGTCAGTTATTATTAAAAAAGTTTAATAAAGCTTAAAGTAGATTCAGAATTTTAAAAAATGCCTCCATTTCAATAGGGCGCATAAAAGTATGCTATGGTTAATGGAAGTTACTTAGGCTTAATGTATGAGCCTGAAAATAAATACCCCTAGTTTGCTGGTCCAATTAAAGTAGATAAAAGGAATTAAATTGTTTTCTAAAACAAAGCTTTTTATAATTTTTATTACATTCAAAAGCAGGCTAGTGTTTCAATCACAATACTTCGTGCCTGAAAGACAAAGTTCCGCTTCTTTAACTAGAAGTATAATCCTTGCGTCACCTTACAAGAAAATATATCTTTCATTTGCATGCAACATATGCACATACATATATAAATATGTACCAAGAATATTGAAAATTATAACTATATAATAACTATACATTCTTGTAAACAAACATTGCTATATAAATCTGCCAGAAACCATTTGTTGGGAAGAAAATTTTGTTGAGTTTGCATTAAGTACTCAAAATTTAGAGCCACCTCACATACTATGTGAACTGCTGGTAATTTAATTAAGAACTACATGGAAGTGTAGTCGTATGTGAGTGCTTGAATTACTTGCACAAATGTAGTATTTAAGAATTTATATAAAACTTTACTTACCACAAATCAGATTTTTCCTGCAATGGAAAGAATAATGATACAATTATTAAAAATTATTTTTACTAGAAATGTTTGCATAAGTTTATCAGAAATTATAACTATGTAGTAAAAAATTAGATAGAAGAGCAGTAGTATACAAAATATATGCAGATTTCTTTAAATGTTACTCAGCAAGAAACTATTTTAATTGAATTTGTTATATTTGCGAAAGCAAAAACAAAATAAATTTCAAATGTTCACATGTTAAAAAAAAATCATTAACTATCATGTAATAAAAACATAAATTAACAAATTTTAATTAAAAAGATATGATTATATAGTGTTGCCACCAGACTCTAAACACCAAATTAGTTAAAATTTGCAAAATTTTGTTGGTAAAAAACTGAAAAATATTTTCTAAGCTTAAATTCTAGCGATACGCCACGCTTTAAAATTTATATATTAGTAATTTTCTAAGAATTAAAATAAATTTATTATAGTCGGGAAAATACTGCTGTTTACAAACAAGTATTATTAAAAAAATTAGCGGGTAGCTTTTTGGTTGTGTGAAACAAAATTAAATTTTTATATTACTGCTTAAAATAAAATATACTTATGAAATTAAAGCTTTTTAAAGAGCATGCTTTGGATATGATTCGGTGGTTATTTGGCGGTTTTTTGAAACTGCCTTTTGATATTCTTAAATTTCATGCCTGCTCCAAACTGCGACAATTACGGAGCCCACTTGTTTCAAGAGAAAACTTAACACTCCAACCATAATATTTTTGATTTCATGTTCTGTATTTTTGTAGCGGATTATACATATGTATATGGCATATACATATGTATAAGGCATGTAGGTATAGTGATGGTAACCAGTGCGTATGAGCAACCTCAAAAACGTTCGACAACGTAACATTAAAGTCCATACAAACGTAACAAAATCAAATATTTCTTGCATGTAAAAATTTGTAGTAAAATTACCCATATAATCAATTTTCTGCCGTTTTCAGTTTTTTTTTTAATCAGAAATGTACATTAGGCTCTTCAGTCATGACTGTATAAATTTGGGAATGGAATTAAAAAACTTCGTCCGCAATAAAGTTTTAATCTTCAACATACACGTTTTGAGCACGCGATTGCTTGTACTCTATCGGTGCGAATCAAGTTTGATATCGCATCCCGTTGCTTCTCATGCCGCACGCGTCGAAAAAAGCTCACTGCGCTAGCTGCAAACGAAAGACATAGTTTCAAAATATTGTTAAAATTAAAATTTTGCACTGTCCACTCCGAAATTTTTCAATAATAAGTAAAGAGACTAATGTACAGCTAATATTAAAAAAGCTGAATAAAATTAGTTCCAAGTTTGAAAAAAAAAATTATTTGTTTATAAAAAAAGGCCGAAAAAATTCAACATTTATCTCATTGGAAAGCTGAGAAAAAATCGTAAAGAATAGGTTGACTTGTTATTTTTATATATAAAATAATTTTCTTCGTCTATGCAAATGTTTAAAGATCATTTTTTCAAAAGTTGAAATTTTGAAAATTCAAAAAATGTTTCATATTGACTCATAATCAAAAAAAAAACATACGTGTGCAATATTTTGCCTAAAAAAAAAAATATTTTTTAATGTAAATTGTCGATGAAATGACCCTTACACTCTTTTGGCAAAAATGTGTATATTTGCCCAATATTTGTAATTATCATACCTTTACTCTTTAAGAGGATTAGGTTACAGCATATTTTATATAAACCCAAGTGATTGAGGTTAGGTAAACTTTCAACGGCTGACAGTACATAGGAATTATAAAAATCTATGTAAAATATTCTATGAGGCTCTCTGTTATTATGAGTTAATTAATTTTTTCGCCTACACCATCCAAAACCATTATACTCGTACCTAAAGGTATGTCGTAGTTTACCAAAAAACAAATATATAAAGTAAATTAAAATATCCATATTAAACCTTAATAAAGTAATAAAAAATAATAATTATTTAAAATTCACTTAAAAAATTCGCTTAAAATTAAACACAGCTATATGAAATTAGCAATGCACTCCTAAAGCTTATTAAGTGTGAGGAGCATATGAGTAACATTTTACAAGGAACTAAAGAAAATTGTAAAGAAATAACTGAAAATTGTAAACAGTAAATAAACTGAAGTTCAATTTTATATCAAGCTTAACTGCCTTACTCCGCTGTCAGCTGAAATTTTGATTAGGGTTTGAATTTACTTAGCGCTTGAGGGTATGAGGAATTGTTTTACTGTAGGCTAAAAAATTGCATTAACGTTAACGCACATTAATATCAAACTCATAATTTTATTTGACGCGCTGAAAATTGCTGTTAATATTAGCCGAAATGTCAACACACAGTTTCGTTATTTTTCACATTTGTTTTACTTTGCACTTGAAATTGTTTATAGAAGCGGAAAAAACCAAAAACAATACATATGTGAACAAATGTATGTATTGGCGGTAAAATGTAATTGTTTTCTTTTCTTAGGTAAAATATTAGCCACTTTCAGAATCGAGAAAATTTAAGTAATTTCCAGTTTGTCACCTTATCAATCATATCGACCAAAGACATTGTGCAATGAAATGTATGAAATCAAAAAAAAGATTGTAATAACCTGGCAGTTGCTGGTAAATTTTATTCCCGATCGCAATATGTTGTGATAGGGTACTTTGTCTTTGTTTATTTGCTGGTTGTATTGGAATTAGGATAGATAATATAACACTTGCAACAGATATATAATAAAATATATAGGATAAGAGTTCAATTTCTTCGCAAATGTTGATACTTGAAGAAGAAAGAAATTGTACGATATACTATTTTTTGCAAAATATTACTCATACGCCACACACATCTATGAGTTTTACTTTAGGATTTCGTTAAAAAATATAATACGATCATTGTATGGGTAATTGCATTGAAACATTATAATAAAGAAGAAGAAATGTAAATTATAATAAATGTAAATTAATATATAATATAATTATATCACAAATTCACAATTAAAAATTAATATACCATGCTAGCGGTATAAAAACATTTAATACAAAATCAGCAGTTACATTCTTTCAAAATTTCGAAAACTCAATTTCAACTAAATATGACACTCCTTTACATGTCCTTTTTGTTGTTATTTCATTACTTTTCTATTTTTCTATTTTCAATAAATTGGCAGTGCTGTGACACAAAGTCAAACAAAGCTCCATTGCATTTATTTTAATAACATTTTCGGTCTGGCTTTTGTTTTCATACACACACAATGCCAAAGTGGGGCACGCAGCGGAACTTGCACAAATGAGATATTCGACGCATGACAGCACTGCGGCGTAATTAATCATTTCATCGATAGACAGAAACATGTCATCACAACCAATTCAAGTTTACCAATGACAAATCCCCGCCCACAGTTTAGGTAATCATTTGAATTGATAGCCAAGCACATGCATATACGAGTATACATAGGTATACAAATAAAAGTGTGTGAAAATACTGTTACCCCGTAGTTAAAAAAAGCAACTTAGTCGAAAACAATGTGCAAATGATTTTAAGTCGAGTTCCATAGCCGTATTCAAAGTCAAATTTTTACTCTCGGCTTCACATAGAGTTTTGCGTCAGATTGCTTGTTAGAAGAGCGGTAATGTGGAAAAAATAACAGCACCTTAATTTATACGAACGATTTCAAAAAGAACTATGATTTATTGCGGAACCAAATATCTCCTAGTCAATTATCTTTCTGGCAGCTGAACTCAGCTCAGCTTCTGTTTAGCTGTGTGGGAGTTAGTACTCTAACATACTGTGCATTTAGAAATGTGACCATATTTTTAGACAGCCAAAGAACCAACACAAAATAAGTCGCTCGGTTGTACAGAAGCGGAATTCGATATTCGATAGAAATTTATGACAAATCACACAGCTGCAGAGCATTTTTCATGGATCTAAACTGTAGTAATCTTATAGCATCCACTCCGAACTACAAAACGTTGCTCTGTTACATTTTCAGATTTAGTTATACATAAAGTTGCTATAAGACATGCACCTGTGAAGGGTATTGTAGTTCTGATAGAGCTGAAGTTAACGATTTTTCTTTTATCCTTATATTAATTACGAGGATTCTGATAGTTTTTAGTAATTTTATGCGGAAAAACGGTCAGGTTTGGTTACGAGGCTGATCCTAACAGCAATCTTCCTTGGACAGGTTAGAACGCCGGTCCGTTATGGTACCGGAAGCTATTATATAAATGATCAAAAGACCCTTATAAATCGACCATGTGCTTGCAGCCTATCACAAATTTGTTAAGGTGGCTTATGTCAGTTTCAGCTATGGCAAAGGCTGGATAATGTTGAAGAAACTGTCATGATTTTTCTACCTCATCTTCTTCCATACAACTTAGACTAAGATACGATTTTTAGCCTTACGCGTGAATGCCTTTTGAACAATGTCCAATAAGTGCTTCTATCATTGCGGCAATATTAACTTAACTAGGTGAAAGTAGTTTAGTAGATTTCCTGCGTTCTACGCTAAGCCAAAAGTATCTCGCAGTCACAGGGGAACGGATCTTCGACCAGCGTATACTAAGCGCACGCGAGATCCTTAGGTCTTGTGCTAGAACGCAAGATGCCACCGGAAACGGAAACTTCAAGCAAACTTACTAACATCAAAAAATATTTATAGATTATATACAGTCTCCTGTCAAGTATACAATAATTTACTGCTGGGCTAAGATTGTTCAATATTTATAATTGTGCGTGTCTTTAAACCGTCTTTGCAAATATCCGCTCATTTCATAATTATTGACGTAAATCACGTAATGGAGTCCACAACATTTCGATAAGAATTAAACGGGCCATTGAAAATAGGAAAAAGCCATCTAAATTAGTTGGAAAACAAATTTATTCGCACTTTAAAAATAGGCAAAACGCGTACACTGCAACATTTGTAAATGCATAGAAACATATGTATATAGGTATATGAATATGAAAATAAGTAGCTTAAAATTTAAAATGATGGAAATAAAAATAATTTATTGTTCAATTCGAAGTTCGTGTAATCAATTAATTATATTTCGAAATTTTTTAAAAATTTTCGTGCTGCACAAAAGAATGCAAACATTGCCAAAAGCTTTGGAAATTGATTATGAAAACAACCTATTATAAATAACAGCAATTCCAATAAATACTTCTGCCGTTATGTGCAAACATATTTGAAAAATTGCACGAGCTATTTGGAAAATATAATTCAATTGGGCTAATAAACGACAATGATAAGTCTAAATGGCTTTATTGCGTTAAATATTTGTGTTTTAACAAAGAAATGCATTCTCGTATACAAATATAGGTGTGATTGTGTGTGTGTGTTTAAATCTAAAATCTTCACACGCTATTCATGCGGAGAAGCTTAGAAATATATTATTACGGCTAAGGTCCGTCTGAACAAAGCAAAGCACTTCTTCACAAAAGAAAATATGTTTGTATGTATATACATATAAATATATATATGCGTGCCCATATCAACTGTAAATAAAACATTTTCTGAATCGAAATTGTACAGATTCGCATGGCAATTACCTTTAATGGCTAGACATAAGCGCATTTTCTATGTTTTCATAAACAGTAAACAAGTGTGTGTGTGTATGTGTGCAGGTGTTCTTATTAAGATTTGTATTTGTAGAAAAAATTCATTTAAAACTTGACTGCATTTAGATTAAAAAAATATTTCTTTTACATGTAATTTGAGTTGTGGTTGGGCATAAGGTCAATGCACATAATGAAAGGCACATATGTATTGGCTGGCATTTTAAATATAAATATACACAAAGCTTAATGGCAGATTGGAACGTTGCAAGCGCTTTTATGCAAAAGTTTTTCATTTGACGAGATATCCTCAAGAAAGGAATCTTATGTATTTGTGAAGGGTATTATAGCTTCTGGGCAACCGAAATTAACGTTTTTTTCATGTTTTAATAAAGTTTTTTTTTATCTTATGTGAACATGAAGCTAAACTCAGCGAAAGAGGGAGTAAATAACAGAGAGAGAGAAAGTCTTAAATATCATGTACTAACACTGGATAAACTGAAAGCAGAAAGGCATGAGCTCACTCAATCTCACGTAATGAACTCAAGTAATGAACGTAAATAATTGATCCGTAATATCGAATCGGCCCAATAATTTGGCTCATTAGAGCCCTGTGAGAATTTTGCCATTCTGCAGGCAGT